TTAGTTACAAGAGAGAAGAGTTCGATGTATCACTAAAAAACTTAAAGAATAATATGGCGCCAGGTCTAGATGGGATACAGGGGGAAGTTCTAAAACATGCAGGACAAGAGGTTAGAGATAGTATGTTTAAGCTACTTAGTCATATTTACGAGACAGGGAAAGTCCCGAATATGTTACGCAAACGCAACAGGCCATTTTAAAAAGGCATGGAGAGCTAATTGCTTATTTTAAATTCAATTTTGCAAGTTTGTAATATAAATATGCGTCCGACAGGTTTAAACAAGATGATAGTGGCATGATGCTCGATGCGCTCACTTGGCCAGTTCATCACACTACGTCACGGCACGTGTCTTTTTTTGCTGGGCAGGATCGGAGACCAACAATCTGTTCCGTCGACATTCCGTCAGAGCCGTGCCCTGCTGGACTAACGAGCGATTGTCCATTCATTTAGATTTTTTTATCCCATCCGTATTTTGACAGGACGGGTCGGATAAGTGTGCGACAAACTTTGTTTGTTTGTTAAGTTGTGTTTTTTTGTTAAGACTAGTGACATACTTGCGACTTCGCGCCGTTACAACTTGGTGCGGAAAGCGAATGCTATAGCTGATCTGACTCATTGATTTGCATGGACATGGCCGTACTTGCGGCAACGCCGCGCTTAAATCTCACAGATGGCCTATTTGTATTCATACCTACTAGACAGATGGGACTGTTTGACACCTAAAAATTTCCTTCGTGGAAACCACGACATCACCTCAGCTCTACGCGTATAGTGGACGAACTTCGCGGCTTCTTCCTTTGTTTTTGTTATGTATGTTACTAAAATTTCTGAAATCGCCCGGAAATGTGTGAAGTAAATTATATTAGACACATTTCCCAGAAAATCTATACATTTCCTAAATAGCAATCGGAAATGTATTACAGGTAATACTAAATAGGCAATAATACGGTAGGGATGTACCTGTATCCACTGGTGACGTCATTGTTTGATTAGGGAAATTTATGACAGACCGGAGGATTTCCAATGGCTCTGCCCGCCAGAGGCGGGCTGAGATGTTAGATATTAGAATGATGTGACGAAGTTATCTTTGTTTCAGTAAGCACGATGACCTTGAATTTTTTGTCTGTTATAGAAATGATAATGCCGATCATTTTCATATGAATGAGATCATAATGAAGCATACTTTCGAAGACATTATTCCAAAATATCAGCCAGGCGCATTAAAGAAACTCCAGTCTGTCATAAATCTACCTAATAACCGTACAATAACGTCACTAACGCATATAAATCTCCAAACCTAACCTAACCAAGCAATAACGTCACCAATGCATATACACTAGGCGGTAGTACTAGAACCGCGTAAACCCAGATAACTTTGATTTTCAGTTTACTAACGTGTTTTATTCATTTTATTCACAGAAAGCATTAGTTTTCCCGAGATAAAAATGTTTAGTCTCTCAGTCTCTGAAAGCGATACTCGAGTCTCCGTCTCTCATCGAGTCTCTCTGGTGTCGCTGAGAGAGACTGTCGAGAGACTCAAAAAAATTGTTTAACGTCTCTGAACGAGAGACTCGAGTCGCTCATAGAGAGATCCTCATTTAATATCCAGTCTCTGAACAAGAGACTCGAGTCGCTCATAGAGAGATCCTCATTTCGTATCCAGTCTCTGAACGAGAAACTCGAATCTCTCAATAAGTGTTTCTAAGTTCAACATATTTCAGAGATCCCAATCTTTCTACGAAAGACTCGAGTCTCTCAATTTTTCAGTTCTATTTATTCAGTCTCTTTGTGAGAGATTTGAGCTTTATCGTTCGAGTCTCTCATACATACAGAGACTGTGAGAGATCCATAAAAACACCTAGGCAGTAACTGATAGACTGTGAGAGATGCTCTCAGAGATGCTGAAAGAAACTGAGAGACTGGAGAGAGACTGAAAATTTTTGTCTAAGGTTATAAATTTCCTAGTACGATATCGGAATTTCATTTCATTTCATTCACATCCTAGGAAATCTATACATTTCCCAAGATATATGTGTATTAAAAATCTTTGAAACAATATTTTATAGATTTCCTAAATAGGCTCAAAATTCCTAGATTTCCTACGTTTCCGGTAACATATACACACAATTTGAATTATATTTAACGTATTCCCCATGAAACTGCATGGAAAGCAAAATTCTGGGATCAATGTCGCTATGCGCGCAAATATGTCATCACATTTCACTGAAGCTGCAGCAAGCCAACTGTTGAGGTCAGTGTCTTTGCCCAACACTCGTCAATGGTAGCCACAAGCAGCCTCTTATTTCACACAAAATTCTCTTTCGTTTTCCCAGCTGTTCATATATCAATCATCTTTATAACAATTCCCACCCCTGTTTTAAGAAAAGTATCCAATCTTGCTTTTATACCTACTTGTTTTTCTAAAAGCAATTAGTTTGATAATTTAGTTATTAATTGGTTGGATAAAGAAAGAGAATGATGAGAGTGGTTGCTTTAGACATTGACACGCAACGATGTCGTACCCTCCATTATTCGTAGGTAATACATACATAAGAAGTATGTATGTATACATAAATATACATATATATATATAATATAGATTGCTTTTAGTAATAACCGCAATGCAGTATTTATTCCAAGTCGTTACAGGGTAAAACCGTTGCACTGCCTTTTCGTATTCCTTATTTCAATATCTTCATGCTCGTGTACGTCACGGTTTATCGTGTTACATAAAATAAAATGAGTCGTCAATTTTCGAAGAGGATGGATAATATGGAAATTTATATGTCTATGCATGGTGTACGTATTTTATGATGCTATCAGTCATGTTTTTATTAAATTTTTATCTTTCTTTTTACAAGAGGTACTAGTCGGTTTTCAGATCACAAGGATAGATGCAGATAAGGAACGTTTATAAAAGGGAATTATACCATTATTTTTAGTTTCAATTGAATTCGCGATTATTAATTAAAAACTCCGATTAAACTACAATAGAATCTCAATAAGTTGAAAACCTCCAAAACTCGAAAAAATATTTTGTTCTCTTTCCTTCAAGCCACAAAACCTCCATTAGTCGAAATCTCAACCCTCTATTAGTCGAAATAATCAGTGAGTTCCTGCAAGCCATTTTGGTGCATATTTTCCCTCTATAATTGGAAATATTAAATTGGACCTCTGTATTTCGAACATAGCAATGTTTTATTTTACAACCTTTACAACTCGATAGTTTGAAACTTATTACTTCTGTAGTTCGAAGAAAACTAAGTTATCGACTTTAAGGATTTACGAACAATGTAAATACACCAAATCTTAACTTCTACAAGTCGAATCAAAATCCGCCTAAGTCAAAATCCTCCGTAAGTCGAAAACTCTATAACTTTTTGGCGTCCGCCTCGATGTTCGAGTTATAGAGGTTCTACTGTATAACATCTTGGATAATATCGGAAGTAATTAATTAATTCCATCTTTTTTGGTTGGACGTATTAATAGTAACATTTGATAGCATATTCTAGAAAGTTCTATCATCTGCAGAGATAGCTGCACAAGTTCTCATTACAAGTCAATACCTAAGCTAGAACCATAGATATTAGCGCGTTATTATATATGATACTACCTAGTACTTGGTGATTGTATATAAAAAAAATTTTTAGAAAATGTTATTCTAAGCTTGTATTTGAGAATAACTTTGTATAATTATATATTCTTGGAAAACCCACATGATGCCTATTAAATATGTAAAACATGATGTTTAACTTAAAAAAAATGTTTATGTCATAACAAAAACACGGAAGGTGCTAAAAAAAAGTTACTACACCATTGGATTCTAAAGAAAAATTTTTTTAAGAATAAGTTTTAACTTCTTAGGTAAGTTCAAAAACAATTGAGATGGAGTGGGTAATCGATCTAACGATGATACTTTTCAATTCCACTCTGCATCCCAAGAACCCAAAAGAGGTAACATCTTTAATGTTACAAAAAAGTGGCAACCTGTTGGGGATACCACAATCTCTACCTTTAAAAATAAGGGGGATACCCTTCAAAAGTGTCAAAAATGGAATACCCTATACATAAACAATTTTTTGATTGTTCGCTTAGAAATAAATTATTACAATAAATAGTGATAATAAAGAAAGATGTAAGAAGACGATACACAAGAAACTACAAATTGATTCAAGTAAATTTCTTATCATCATCATCATAAAGTCGCCAGTCCTAAGACTGGTTGGACACGTACCTCCCTATCCCGAGTTAATCTGCGCATTTTCCTAAAACTAGAATATCCCACATCCTTAACTATTTGTTAAGAGGAATTTATTGTTGATCTATCTCTACTCCTCTTAATTCCTGTTTCTGTCTCTAATATGTTTCTGACTAGCACTTTATGCCTGAGAAAGTGTTCTACTAACCTATCTCTCCTATTTTCTTTACTCACGGATTTCAATAGATGAGAAGATTGCCAATTTTAAGTTTTTTATTATATCTGGTAAAGTGTTAATTTTTTCGCGAGTCATAGCCTTTCAAAAACAATCCTTTCCCTCTACTTAAGATATTACTTTTCCTAATAGATTATATTTCCTTTTAGTTGATATTAGTTTTTCTGATACATTATTTCCTCTTAGTTCATGAACTACTTCAACTGCAATAAATGCAAGAAACTTTAAGAAAAGTCTGCGACACGCGCAACGCGCATGTTATTTATCATCATTACTTAAAAATTTTCAAACCGCATCCCACCTTTAAGAATTTCAAAAGACCGTCCCTGCTGTTTTAAAAATTCACCCTTTCCGTTATACTAACGACCCGCGTTAATTAATCTGTTTGCAATTGCTCTTGACACTTTTTAATGCCATCAAATTACGACGAAATGATGACGTGCTCAAGCCGAGAGAAAGATTGTGGGGCTGGGCCACCTGCAGCTCCCCAGTACACGTGCAACGCTATTCGGTGGCACATGTTCCCTTCTATTCGTGCACTAATGATATGTTTCTTTCTGTTTCAGGGACTACTACTATGACAGGTGAGTCGCAAAACCTCTCGACACGCCGCACTCGAAATAATTATTGTAAAGTAATGAGCCGTATGAATGAAGGCTCGTTACGTTTAACAAAAAAATATGAGAGCGAAAACCCCATTCGGAAAAAGGGTAACGGATGTTCGAGTATCCGCACTGTAAGTAAACACTTAACATTTGAAAAGATTTTTATATTCCTTGCTCTTTGTCTTCCACTTCTGACATCAGTCTGAATGTAAAACTTAATGAATAGCAAACGGGATGACATTTGACTGCACTCGTTACATTTTTGTACTGTTTATGCCCTTAATAAGAATATGTTTATCCAAAGGTATACGAAATAATTATTATTTAGTTGCTGGAGGTACCTATATAGTTACTGACTCAAAAGTAGATGCAGTTTAATTATCTCAAATATTATAAGTATACGTTTTGGGGATTGATTTTGGGGGAGATTTAAAACATACTCGGAAACAGCAGGACAAATTTTCGAAACTTGATTTCCGCAACTGACGAGCTATTTACATACATATAATAATGTCAACATTGTTCACTTTTCTATATCATAAAATTATTCGATTATGGTAACGTGCCTATCACGTTGAGCATACGTAATCCTAAAATGTAGCATCGTACTACAGATGGCGTTTACCGCGCCATTTGTGGTATTTTATAAAACGCGCTGTTAAGACAGCAGGTAAAAGTTGGTCTGTGTTCTGTCGGAGCTGTCTGCGACGCGCTGATGAGATCGAGAAAGATCGAAATCGCGATCCGCGTCCAGCAGTTTCGACAGAATACAGAGCACTTTGAATTATTTTATTATATCATAAAATAATAAGCATATTTAATTTCTTGACAGAAAACAAAAGTTATTCTTTAATTTTACGCATACACCATCAGAAATACCTAAATTTACAGCTCGAAACTGTAGTAGTAGTAATCCTGATTTCAATGCCGCCTGCGACATGGGTCATTTCATCTATTCTCCACTTCATCTCTTAGTTTGGATAATATTAAGTAAAGTGCAAGGCAATTGAGACGTTCCCAAATAGAGGCGAAACATCGGTTTTGGTTCTTCAGAAATAAAAACCTTTCAAACCCTTAATTGTCTTGAACTTTATTTAATATTATTGGTCATTTCATATTGCACTGATTCTATGCAACAACTTTAAACAGAATAAGATCTACTTCTGTCCCCTTCACTTTGTCACTGCACATATATCTGTGATCCTGACAAGCACCACCCTATTTGGATATGAATAGGACTGTTGCGCTTTTTTTTAAGGAGAACCTGATAGGGAAATAAAAATTAGGACCTAATAAGGTAATTCAAAAAAACCTATCAAAACCTGATTGCAAATTTATTATTAAAATAAGCCAGTTTTAAGATAACCATAGATTTATTGATAAAATTTTTCTGGCATCGTATAAAAAAACTGGTAAAATTGTAATTGACATTTAACAAGAAGAAAAATCCATGATATCCTGATGATATTTAAATTCTGGCCAATCAAGTTTATCCACACTCAATCCTGATAAGAATTTAATTATATTTACCCTGTAAAGGATAAAATGACCTAATCATGATAAGATCCTAGCTTGGAAAAGTTGATTTCATCAACTTTTTACTTTGATAGGATAAACTGTGTACATCCTGATTTGGACCTGACAAGTATATTTTTATTTCGGATATCTTTATTCAATCCACATTAGGACGTCAATGGAAATTCCTTACACTGGACAGCCTTATTAGGTCCTCACATATATCGGGCTAACCTGCTTCTAATTTCTAGTCGGACAGTGTCAAAGTCAAAATCAAAGTCAAGATAAAATATTTTTTTGACTTTGATTTTGATCTATAATATTATAACAAAGGAAAACAGAATGAAAGTTATATACGGATTCGTTTGAACCATGAGATATTATCCTGAGATTTCGTTTGTTCTATTATATAGATTTAAACCTCAAAGTAAGGGTTCATTTGAATAGCTTTACAAGGAAATAGTATTAGGTCGATTGATAACTCATTTATTTAGTTAGACAAGAAATTTAAGCAGAAAATATTATTATATAATTTAATATAATATTATTATTATCCTGCAAACAGCGATTGTAAATTCGGCCGATTTAAAGAGTTTTTATTAATTACGGTGATAAATTCGTTTCGTAGCCCCTCAAAAATAAAATGTAAATTCCGCCGGTTTTATAGNACATCCAAATGCCAAGCTATTTCAGTCAATGAGATCCTACAAATGGCGCAGTAAACGCCATCTGTAGTACAACACTACATTTAGGTCCATGGTAAATTAATTGCACTAAATGTAGCATTGTACTACAGATGGCGTTTAACGCCCCATTTGCGGCATATTATATTAATTATAGTTAAATTATTCTTGGAGTAATTAAGTTGTTTTTATCCGTTGGCTAACATGAAATTGCTTGGTAAATTGGTGACTAAATTCTTTTAAGTTATATAAAATAGCTTTTAATAAATATTAAAGTACTATCTCAAAATGAATGTACCCATATAAAAATTCCCCCCTATATCACATGATGAAGGCGCTAAATAAATATATAATTCGTTTCTATATAACAATAAGTAATTAAATTGTAACACTGTCAGATTTTCATAATTCGGAAAAGCTAGCAAAGTACAACTACTATGAAATAGTATTTTAGTTTCTTCTTGTTCTTCCCTTACGGAATTTAACGATTCGTGATGGCAATTGTTTTCGAATTGAAATAAGGAAAAACAGTCAGTCTTGACGCCCTGTTTAAGCGAACGCTCTTTCTCTCAGTAGGTAATAGAAAATCTAACGGGCTTTTATCTTCTAATATCAGCGACCATCCAGCAGTTCGTTTCAACACAGATGCGCGTTGTCTTCGCAGAAACGGAGAGCAAAAATAACGCGAGCATAAAATATAAATTTGTTCGAATTGTATTAGCGCTGCTCGCAATGCTTTCTCTCGTCGACCGTTTAATCTTGGATAAAACGAGGAAAGAAGTCGCTGAAAGATATAGTTTGCGCGCCCTTTGTTTTGCCCTACGTTCCATTCAAGATACTTTCATTACCATATTCGAATTGCAGAAATTCCATCAACGCGCGTTTTCTGTTAGACTACTGGTATCACGTATATCCGTCGGTGAATAGAAACAAAGCTCAAACAAAATCCGCGAACACTCTTTGTAACTTGCATCTTCTTTGTGGTATTGTCACGGCTTTCACAGTTTTAATTTTTAAAATTTGTTGCATGCGTTGTTTGAGTTACGCCAAGTAATTCACACTAACATTATATATAAAGAAAATTATGAGCGCTGTCAGCACAGGGCAAAGTTGTATTACGTAAATGAAAATTAGTATCAGCAATTTCTTATGCTGAAGTGTACAATGTGTTGCATACCTATTTACAAACAGTTTCTTTAAATTTAATTTTTCCAATAATTTTTAACACAAAGAAAGCGATTAGACAAATTGTTAACAAAAAGGGGGAAGAACTTGTTTAAACAAGGAAAATTGTTATGAACGTATTCCAGAAATAGCGACCTATGGTGCGACGCAAATACTGAACAGGGTGATCGATAGCGGTAGCGCTTTTATGTTCTTGAGTGCAGACAGCTAACGTTTTCCAGAAAATTCAATTTTTTGAAAAATTTATGCAATATATGCCCTTAAAATACAACGGCTCTGTGGATGGTGGCGGATAATGAAGATACCGTGGATAAGGAAGAGTAGGAGAATAGAGGGCGCCGTGGAAGTCAATTAGAAATAGTCGAGAAAGGTTGGTAGGACACCTTCTCAGGCCTAAATGACTAGTTAGAGACATATTGGAAGAGAAACAAAAGTTAAGAAGGTTAGAGGTAGACCTAGATTAGTTTACATTATTGTTCATAAATAATTAAGTATGTGAGGTGTTCTAGTTTTATGGAAATACGAAGATTAGCTCAGCACAGCTGTTTGCCGAGAGCAGTATTTTCTCAAAATGTTGTTTTTAACGGAACGAAGAATGCTCGATATAAAACACTATATATAGACTTTATTTACAAATGAATTATTAACTATGAAATAACGGATTATAACTACAGGCACAACGAAGAAAACATGAATTAAAAACGCATGTTAAGAAGAAGAAGGACAAAACGTAACTAGCGGTACACATTGAAGGAAAAAAAAAACTTTTGGGTGTTTCATTCCCACCAGCCATTAATGCTGGTGGGCGGGCAGTCCCTTCGGATTACGTTGTAAGGTAGGGCAGAAGGCCCTATTCAGTCTCCTTTTAGGAATCGTAGGAACGGGTGGGTAGTGGTTCTGGTGAAAGAGATAAGTGGATGAAATGAAGATAGAAGAGAATGAAAGATTATCTGTGGAATATTACTGCCCCAACATTTGCCTAATTGATCCAAGGAAACCACAAAAAAACTTGGACCAAGGCAGACGAACCCGGAATCGAACCGGTGTCCTCCCGAATGCTAATCAATGGTCTAAACCTCTAGGCCATGCCGTTCGGTACATTGAAGGAGGCAACTAATTGAGATTTAACGTACGACTCCATACCATTTGATGGTAAATCCACACGTCAAACCACCACAGCTGTGCCGTGATGAAATGATGGACTCCCTGGGATCTCCCCTCCGTCAGACGAATTTGTCCCAGGACGCCACCGATGCAGTGCCTGAGGGTTAACGAGGCGAGTAACCCCCAAGTTGGGACCTATCTACACCCTTACGCGTTCAATGCAGGGACTACACAACGAACCAGGCGATCCGCTGCACAGTCCCCTAACCCAGCATGCGGGCTGTACTCAACTGCCACCTCGAGTGCAACACCAATTGGCGAGGCAGGAATCGAAGCTAAACTCCTAAAGGGTCAGACTGCACACCCGATCCACATATGGTTGTCGGCATTCCACCATGCTTCACGTCGTAACTCCCCTAATGGGTCAGGTTACCCCCAACTCTGTGACCCCACCTGATGCGCACCACTGCCAGAACACTTACATCGCCTTAG